ATTATTATGCTTCAGCAACCAACAAATGTCAAGAGAGAGGAAGTAAGCTAATATTGCCATTTTAAACCATTAAAAAGATCAAAGAAAGGTAGAGGTAAATGACTTGTGAATAAAAAAGAGCTATTCTTCTGCAAGATGTTATGATGTGAAACATAGAGTCAAATTAAACTCTATAATTTTGTAAATAATTTATAAAATTGATTTATATTATATAATATATAATAACAAATAAATTTAAAAAAACAAACTAAATAAGCTAGGTCTATAGGCTTGTAGGCCAGGCCTTATAAAAATAGGCCTGACTTGTTTGTCTAAAGAGGCCGAGAAATAGGCCTTAATAAGAGCATGACCTATTTATTAAATAGGCTAGATTAGGCTTTATATAGTCATATGTTCCTATCTCTAACCCCTACCTTGTTATAGGTTTTTTCTTCCTCCTCTGTTCTTGCCATCCCGTTACTCTACCTCTATCCAAATCCACACCATTTTAGTGTGAAAAATGAAAATGGTGGCTGAACCTTTCTTTTGTTTTTTGTTTTAACCAGATATCTACCAATTTGAAATATTTTTTTAGCACGCAATATTCTAAACTAATTTTAAGATATTAGGTGTTATTACTAGAAAAGTAATATAGGACAGTGGATGACTAAAAATTAATTTAGGAGATAGTGGATAGGATACTGTGTGCGTCTGAAAAATTAGTTTAGAGTTCAGTTTGCTAGATATTAATACTACCAAAAAATATTTTTTTTGGTGCCAAGTATACTCAAAGTTATTTTAAATATTTTGAGATACTCCATTCTACTAAAAAATAATTCAAATTCAAGAATATGGGGAAAAACCAATGAGCCTTTCAGTTTTTATTTTTTACACCAAAGTGTAGTTCTGAAGAGAGGAGGAGAAGATAATGGTAAAGGCAGGGGATGAAAGCCGGCTCCCATCAAAAGCGCCAAAGACACTCTTGTTGCGGTTCTGTTCAATGACTAGATAACTCTTTTTATTTTGTGTTCCTTCCTTCCATTTGTCACTTTCTCTCTCTTTTCTTCGTCTCCCGTCTTCTTCTTCAGCTCTATTTTCCCATTTTTCTTTCATGTTTTTTCTAATCTTTGTTCGCTTCTTCTTTTCTTTCCGTCATTATTTCTTCTTAGCTTCCTCCAAAGCATCATTTCTCCCCTCCCCCCCCCCCCCAAAAAAAAAAAAACAAACCAGATAACTCATCCAACCAACGAGGCACCTGGGTTACATTAGGATTATTCAGGATAACACCGGTTTGAGCTGGGTCAGCTCTTATCTACTTTAGACAATAAACCAGACCTTATAAATGGTTGATTTGCCAGTCTTCGAGTTCTATGGCTATAGCTTTCTAGGTGTGTTATTCTTTTCTTCTTTTTTTATTTAACTTATCAATTAAAAATATATTATTCAGGTATCTTATTTTTTGAGTAAACTGATTAAATTTAATACTCCTTGATTCTAAATATAAGACTCATTTAGTAGAATAATTTACATCAATTTTATATTTTATAGTGTAATTTATACTATAAAATAGGGTTTACATATTGGGTCAGAAAAGTATTTATATTGTCCTATATTTATGGTTGAATAATAATATTTTAATGAAAGAATGATACAACCTCCCATCCTTGATACTTATTTTGTAATATAATTTATACTACAAAGTAAATCTTATATTTAGGACTGGAGAAATATAAGAGTAAGAGTTAGATAACCAAATTTGAGGATATTAAGTAAATTAAGTAAGTTGGTCAACCTAAATTATCATTATCGATAATGTATATTAGATAATTGGAATTATCTTTTGGTGAAAACCCCTTAAAATAGCATTCCGTAGTAACCAGTATCCTAAAATAGTTTCTGGTATACTCAAAACTTGCCCTAAAATATTTTTCTACCCTAAAAAATAGCATCTAATATCTTCAAATATTTTTCAGTAATATCTAATATCTTAAAATAATTTTTGATACACTGAACACCTGCCTAAAAATATTTTTCTAGTAACATCCAGTGTCATAAGAAATTTTTTTGTACCCTCTCTATTCTATATTATTTTTCTAGCAAAATCCAATATCCTCTAAAGTAATCTTTGGGGCACCCAGTATTTTAAAATATTTTTTTTAGTAACACTCAATATTTTAAAATGCTAAGTGCAATTTTATCCTTAATGTAGTTTTTCAATGACAAGCAAATAAGCAACATCATAAACTTGGCAAACTGACCATATTGAGTACTACTCTAAAAAAGTTTTAGGATGCAAATTATTTTAGAATACTAGGTGTTACTGAAAAGCTATTTGAGAACAGATGTTGAGTTTACCAAAAATTATTTTAGAACATTGGATACTGTGAAAAATATTTTAAAATACTAGATGCTATTTTTGAAAAAAAAAAAAAAAAGGTTCAACCTCCTATCTCATGTCCAAAACGGTGTAGTTTTGGGTAAAGAAAAAGAAGCATACGCAAAGGGCATCGAAGAGAAGCCAGTTCTGACAACTAATGATGAAGCTAATACAGTTTACCCCCAAAAAAAGGCCATATTTTTCATGATTTTGTAGAGTGTTTTTTTTTGGGGGGGGGGGGGGAGATGATTGTTTTAAAAGCCATTCTTTTCAAAATTATATGCTACTCCGCAATTTATAAGGAATCTTTAAAATTAATTCATGGTCACAAGAACCACTAAAAGAACTTCGCTATGATATGAAGAAGCTTGGCAGATATATGAATTTATACCTAATCGTTCATCAAGATCTACCATATCTATGATTATAAATTTTTAATTCTGCAGCCAATAACTATTATCTCCTTGTCTGATACTGGTTTCTCTTTATCAATGAAACAAAGTTGAAAATAGTGATCTCAAGAAAGCTAATGAAATACAAATTCTAGAAGCATCCAATGTAGTTATAACAACAGGCACTGTTCTGATTGGTCGTTTTACATTATCTAATGTAATTGGTAGAGGTGGAAATACAGGCTAGTCTGGTTCTTAGAGCCGGCCTCGCAAGGCCGATGGGTTTAAAAGGACTGGCCCTACAGGGTTAAAATTTCAAAAATATCCTAATTTGCTAGGCTTAGCCCTTAAGCTAACAGGCTCAGGGTTTTCGGCCTGTTTAAGGGAAAAAATATTATTTTTTATATTTCTTAAATTTTTATCAAAAAATAAAAACAAACCAATGAAATTATTAATAAAAAAACATAAATATGAATAAAATTAAGTCACAAATACAAAATATTTTCATATCTAAATATTCATCAACACATATAATACATCTATCAACCAGACAACAACATCCAAGAGTTCCATCAATAGTACAAATGCGTAATAGCCAAATACTATCATTAATTTTTTGAAATTTCATCGTCACTATAATCAATTGTTCTTCTTCATGAATATACTTTTTTTTTTGTAACAAAAATATCAACCTTTTCTTCTTTATAGGAAATTTACTTTTAAATTTTGCAGTTTAGTTACTATTTTACTTTAGTTTGAGAAGCATTGTTATTGAAACTCATAAATTTTAAAAAATAGCAACACATATAATATAAACATACTTTCTTATCAAATATATAGTTTAAAAATAGCAACACATATAATATAAATCAAATTATTATTAAAGTCCAAATTAACCTAATTTTTAAAATTTAATTGGACAAATTACTGTCTAAAATCAAATAAATCAAACTACTCTGTGAAATTTAATTTCAAAATAATAATAATAAATGAATATTTGAAATATCATTAATAATATAAAAAATTAATAATATTATAATGATACAAGAAATTTTAAGAAAACAAAAAAAAAATATAAAAGGGCCTAAACGAGCAGGTCTGTTTAGCCCTCGTTCCTATAGGACCAGTTTTTTTAAACTTGTTTTTCATTTGAAGGAAAAAGATTTTGAGCCCAAATGGACCAGCTCGACAAACTCAGCCCATTTTCCTAACTCTAGTAGTTGGAGGATAAGCAAAATCTCTGCTAAGTGCCCGTGTCTTAGCTAGGGTTATGTTTTAGTCCTTCTCTCAAGCTCCCACTTGCCTTAGTAACTCTTAAAGAAAAGGTGAGCTGTGATGAAAGATGGATGGGAAATCAACACATGCATACCCTAATGATCCACAGAAGAGCAACAAGATATCATAGATTTTGTCTTATGCAAGATTTATTTCATATGTTTATTAATTTTTTTCAAATTAATCTCATTGATATTTCTTCAATAATAATCAAGTAAGAAAGGAATAGAGAAAAATAAGGAAGATGCTTAAAGTGTTTTAGAAAAAACATAGAGATAAGCTCTAATGTTGTTCCCAAAGTTGTTTCTCAGGAGTTGAGTATCTAGAAATTTTTTTAGGAACAATATCACCCTGAAAGTTGTCAAAACGTAGCAATGTCACACAATCAAAGAAAATTTTGAATGTGCAGCTAGGAATTATAATACCAAGTAATGGAAACTTCTCAATCTGGAATTATGACAGTAAAATTACACATAAAAGTATCCAAGATTAAGTAAATGATTTTTATGCTGTCGAACATTTCATTGGGAGAAGTTCACATGATCTATTGTATACAGAGATATATTTAAACAGAAATATTGACACCTTTTAAAGACAGAGAAAGAACTGTAAATGCCTTCATTTAGAAATAAAAGTCCTAAACAGATAGGGCAAGTCTAGATAATGAAAATTTACTCTCAATATCAGTGACTTGAAAAACTTTATATACTGAGTGAACATGAGAAATCAAATTAATCCAAGCAAATCATAAAACTGATAAATAAGGTCCATCACATTTACTCAAAAATATAACTAGCTCTTTGTATTAATGAATCTGTACACATTTCAAGTTCAGATTGTCAAAGAAAGAAGACAATCACAAATATAACAAAGCTGTCTATGAGATGTAAACTTGGTAATCTTTTCTGAAGGGCAGCAAGAATGGAAAAATGTAGTAATGGGCAAAAAAAGATAAAAATGAAATAAAAGAATTAGCCCTAATGGATGAGATCAAGATATGCTGGCATCGGAAGGCACAATAGTGAATCTTCAGGCTTTGAAGTAATTGGTAGTATATCATTGACTTCAAAACTATAGAGAATCCCTTGAAACGCTTCAAGCTTAGAATTTCCACTAAAATAAATATCCTTCAGCTTCATAAACGTTTGTAGAGTTAGTAAGCTATCAGACCCGGCTTGATGATTCTTCCCAACTACACGATCCACATTCAATGTCTTAGCTACTCTTTCTAGGCCACCATATAAACCATTGCAGAACTTAATTATATGTTTCATGTCATAAATTTTGGGTCCAAAGAAATGAGCCATCAATTGTCTAAATAAGTGAATATTAGGAGGCAATTGTTCCCTGATTAGAAGTTTGATTAGGAACCCAAAATCATAAGAACTGTGGAATGTGATCCATGTGAGGTGAGAATTGAACAATAATCCAGATCTCAAGACAAAAGTACGAAAAACCCGAGATGTAATGCCCTGTTTCTTGTTTTTCGAGAAATCAATCCCTTGTTTCTCCAATAGTAGAATGGACTCAGCATTATGTTGATCCCGTTCAACATCAAAGTCGCAGAAATTGAATTGCCAAACATGTCCATTATGAGTTCCAAATTGAGGTAGATTCCCATTAGAATCAGATAGGGTAAGACCTAATTGGATGATGTTTAAAACATCGACATTGGCCTTCATTATATTGTAATTAGCTGAAGGAGACAACTTCAAGTAAGAGGCCTTATCAACATTGGGAGTGAATAGGGTACCAGGAAACTCAGTGTCAAAGGAGACAAAAGAGCAGCTAGGTACAACAGCTTGTATCAAAGACAACTCATTACGTAAATTTGAAGCCCAAACTTCACGAACAATCACATGCTTTCCATTGGGATTCATTGTGCTTCAACTTTTTTATTTAGAAAATTGTGGAGAGAATTTAAGCCTTCTCGACCCTGTGACAATGGCCAAAATACAGAAGAATCACGTTAAGATAAGCTAAAGTAAGTAGAAAATAAATATCAAATAGAATATTTGTTAGATGTCACAAAAAACAAGGAAGATACAAAGATTCGAGGCAAGACTCAGTCTGTGTTTCGTTTCAAATTGGTTTCGGTGGTTTCTAAAGTAAAACCAAAGATGCTCTTAGTATTGCATAATCAGAATAAAATCTTAAAATAGGGTGACTAATAAAATTGATTTTAAGCTAGCAACTTCCCCCAAGGCCAGAAAAAATATAAACATATTGATTATATTGATTTGCACCTTGTTAATTAGGTAGCAGGGGAGATTGAGCTGTGGCTCATAATGAATACTACTTCTGGTTCTCAATATATCAGCAAGTTGGAGATTGAATTTAATGTTACATATAAGATCTCAATTCACTCTACATTTTTCCTCAAAATATCCTCATTGATTACAAGGAGTTTCTACCAAAGGATAATTCTAATAATCAAATACAAATGAATGAAGAGGACGGTTTAGGAAATCAACACACATTTGTTACCAGTAACTAATTCAACTAATTTTCTTAATACCTCTAGATTAGTTATCTAACTTTTATATTAAGTGACGAAGTAGATAATTAAATCACATAACTCCAAACAGTTAAAGAACCTTTTTTATTGGTAGGAAATTTATTGTAAACGGCACTTTAGAGCCCCCATCTCATCTTTACACATTAAACTCCAATACCAGGAAACTTTGTTGACTACATTAGACATTGAAGAAACAAACAGAAATCGCTACGTGACTTAACCATGTAAAAATCTGTTCTTTTGTTTTGTTTTCTTCTAGTACCTACGGAAATTTTATTTCAGATAACAGACTTGAACTCATACAATTAAAAATATGTAGGGTTGGCCGAAACAAGTAGACACCCACCTCTAATGAGAATTGGCGGCAAGAAAAACTGAGCTGAGCCAGTAAGCCGCCGAAAGCCGAACAAATGACACAGAGGGAACGCGAAGAACCAACTGGACAATGCCAAAGACAAGCCACTGAGAGATCGCAACGGTTAGTTTTTTTTTTTAAGTGCTCGATGAAGACTGAAGAGGAATACATATGATGAATTTGGCGCGTGAGAGTTTATCTGATTATATGAGATTACCAATCTTCGGTCTCGTTTAGTTATATTTATAGATTATGGATAAACTGAATTGAGATAATATCTGAAAAAGATACTATCTTTATTTTTTAGCCAAACTATCTGTAGTTTCCTATTTTGAAAAAAAAAAAAAAGCGTATTTAAACATTTGTTTGAAAAGGAGTTTTTAAAATTTGAGGGCTAAACTTTTGATGGGAAAATAATAATTTGTAGTTTCTTGTTTTTAAACCATCTTATTTTTCTAAACTATTTATACTCGTAGTTTCTTTCTATATTCGTAGTTCCAAATCGAACGTTTGAGTAAAGGATTTTTTTTTTAAATTGAATAAGAAATTATTGACATGTTATCTAAAGAAAAATATTTAGGTCAAATTATTTATATCCATTATGTTAAGTTCTCTAATCATATATGGCCATGTATTTTATATCTTTTCATATAGATTTATAATTTATAATTGAATGATATTAAATGCTAATAATTAAAAAGCAGAACACATGGCTTCTTTTTTTTTTTTGCCAACGAATAGATGGTTATTTGTGATTGGAGAATTTAAAATAATAGATATAAGTAATTTGATCTAAGTGTAATCCTTATCCAAATCCACTTCACCCTCATTAAACTGTAACGTTAATTTTCATACACACATTTATATAAAATTTGGGAGATCTGTATTTTAACATGAACATATCTTTAATCTGTTTTTTATATGTGTATATCTTTAAAAATATTCTTAATAATATTAATTGAAATCGATTCAAATAATTTTTCACGCATGTTTAATATAGTTTAACAATAATCTTCAAGTGTATCCACTTTGAAATCGATGTGTATGTGTATATATTCAAGGGAAAATCTCATTAAATGACCTTTGAAATCAATAAAAGACAAATCAAAGTGTTGAATTTGCATGTTATGGACCAATTTGAAATACTACCTCCGATCTTAATTATAAGACTTTGTTTGTAGACTACAAATCAGGTTTTATAATTAGTAATGGAAGTAGTATCAAAATATTAGTAAAAGAAGCAATCAAATAGCTTTTATTAAGAGTTACTGGGTAAAATTAAAGTCTTAAAACATAAAAGTAAATTACAACAATTCTTTAAGTATTAACAAAAATTGATTAATAATAATTTTTGTTGAGAGTTATTTGAGTAAAATTAAAGTCTTAAAATATGAGAGAGATAACAACAAATTTTCAGTTATTGTCTTAAATGAATAAGCTATTAACAAAAATTGATTTCTTAATAACAACTTTTACATTTGGGTAAAATTAAAATCTTAAAAGATTAAAGTGAATGACAATAATTTTTCAGTTATTGCCTAAAACGAATAACATATTAACACACAAAAAATGATCCCTCAATAACAACTTTTATTGACAGTTCACACTTGAGTAAAATTAAAGTCTTAAAATTTGAAAGTGGATGATAATAATTATTCAGGTAATGAACAAATAAGTTACTAATAAAAACTGATTCCTTAATAACAAATTAACAACTTTTATTAACAGTTTACGCTAGAGTAAAATTAAAATCTTAAAACATGAATGACAATAAATTTTTAGGTATTACCTAAAATGGATAAGCTATTAATAAAAATTGAATATTTATTAACAACTTTTACTAACAGTTTATGTAACACCTCACGTAATTATATCAGTATACGTAATATATTTAATTGAAAAGTCCATACATATTTCTAATACTGCAACAAGTCAATTTCAAAACATTTCTAACATAATTTAACAACATAAACTATTAAAGTCTTATAGTCATAGCAAATAAAAATATAACATAGCATGTGCTTGAAGAGCACAAAAGCCTTCACGGCTCACTCCATTGGTGCCTTTCCTTGATTCCTACTAGATCCTTTGCCTGAAAAATTGTTAATATAGGGGGTGAGATCAAACGTCTCAGTAACTACTGAAATTCTAACCTATACAAGCAAATCACATATGATAAACCAAAAATCTATTTATAGGTCTGTATATATGTATATATTAAAAATCACAGATTTGATACATTCAATTCAATTTCAATTTATTATTCAATATATCCAAAAATAATGCAATATGCTGCCTCCCTTATATCACCGTCCACCCTTATACCGCTGACTGGAGCCATAGGCTAACACATAGTCCGATAGGAACTAATCCATTTTACTGAATTATTCCAAACTCACCGATACAAGAGATATATCCGGCCAAAGATATAGAGCTCAAGCTCGGACTATGGCTCCCCTCCTTTGTGAATAGGGAGGTGTCATATGTCCCACAGCTCCAATGAATTCCCGGCCAAAGGAAAACATGGAAGAAGGGGCCCTAACAAGTGCCATCCACTGTGCACCAAGTGATGGCATACCACGTGGTAATTTCATATCCATGCAATCTCCTTCTATCCTTAGCCCAATAATGCATGTCAGATGCCAATAATGTTACATCATAAATACATCCTCAAATATTTCAAAGATAAGATAGCAATAAAACTTATATACCATTTAATAGCAACTCATGACAATTCCTTAGCCATCAATATATTTAAACATTGATCATAATTAATAGCAATAAATCTTGACAAAATCAAATAACATATCAAAACATTTATTTGAAATCATAATACTACTTTTTAGTATGATATAAAAATCAGTAAATCTACAATATAATCATACACAATTCACATGTACAAGAAAGAATTTTCAGAGTTACCTGGTACTCTTTAGCTTACAAATATTCACACAAAGATTACTCCAAAATCCTCAAGTCTACAAAATTGCACATAAATATTTATTAATATAAACTCAGAACTACTCCAAAGCTACTCTAAAATTCTAAGATTACCCTCTAAACCAAAATTACATAAATATATTAACTATCCTAAATCTAGGCATTTATAATAGATATTATTTTGAAAAATAATTTACATATAAGGCTATTTAAATCTAACAAAAGTATATATATATATATATATATTTTTAATTATAAACAAACTGTAGCTTTATTTAATTTTACAAAATTCTCAATTTATAATTTTTCAAGCCTTCAAAAATTATTTCAAAAATATATATTTAACTTATTCAATATTTAAACCGATTAAAACATCAATAATATATTAAATAACTCAAATAAATTATTTAACTCAAATTTAATCGGTAAAAACATATTACAAGTCTAAATAACAAACTTTTCAACTAAAATCTTAGTTTAAAATTCTCAAAATAATCCTTAAACAAAAATAAACCGATCAAAATTCCTTAATAATGGATCTTTAAATTTCTGCGGTCATATATTGTCAAAACTCCATATTTACTCTATACCCAAACAGTAAAATTTTCTCTAAACATGATAATGAAACTAATAATATAAAGATATAAATATATAGGAAATATTCATAAAGAAAATATGATAACAAGAAGTAGTTTTGTGTACCTAAATGATCTCCAAAACCGTCAGGTACTCTGCAATTTAGCTTTCTCTCTCTTTTCCTCTCCGCTTCTCACTCTTCTCTCTTCCTTCACTCTCTTCCTCCTCCGTCTCCTCTCCCCCTCTTTTATCCTATTTTCTCTTCACCATCTAACTACCCCATCCCCCATTTTTCCTTCTTCAATTTAATGCCACCCCCCTTATTTCTTCCTCCAATTAATTCTTGCGCCCATGTTTTCTTTGTTCTTGACTATTATTCCCAGCTTTTCCACCGAAGTCGGTGGAAAGCTGGGTATATTATTTTTTTTTATAATAATATATTATTATATATTTTTAATTACAATTTTTTTTTATAGAAAAAAAATAGTATGTTACAGTTTACACTTAGATAAAGTTTAAGTCCTAAAACTTAAAAGTAGATAACAATAATTCTTCAGGT